GTTTGTTTGGTACAGACACCAAAAAAACTTCACATCATCATGATTTTAATATTTTTTTGGGGGGTGAAAAAAACATTTGTGATGCCAAAATGATCATTCCTAATCTAACTGTGAATAAATTGCAATATCTGTTAAAAATAATGGCAATATGATGTTTTTACCATATTGTGCAGCTCTAACTTCTCTCCTACAAATAAAATCTTGTTCTCCAGATTAAACAAAAAACATGTTTGTTTGGAACAGACACCCAAAAAAACTTCACATCATCATGATTTTAATATTTTTTGGGGGAGTGAAAATCAAACTTGTGATGCAAAAATACTAATAGTGAATCATATCTCACTATCTGTCAAACAGTGCAGTATCAGGCAGCATTATTGAGTTGCACTTGGAAGTTTATGGATGCCTGAAATTGACACAGGACATTGAACATACCTGCCCCATGAGCGACAGCAGCATCCCCGCCTGGACCTCTCTGCAGGGCAGCTGCTCTGCGACCCTCAGCAGCCTCTCCTCTTCATACCCTGGGTGGTGCAACAAGGCTGCCATGATTCATACAACCAAACTACAGCAACCTAAAGACGGTAAGAGGACGACGACCTCCCGGTATTCGGTAGAAACAGGAGAAAACTATCAGAATTTATCCACTGTGAAGGCGGCGGGGTACTGTGGGAATATCCATGTCTGAAAATAAAACGTGTAACAAACTCAGAAAGCGGTGAAAAGGTGAGTTAAAGTTGGAAAACAAACACACAAACGAGGAGGCGACAATCTCAGGAGTTTCGCGCGCTCCTTCAGGCTACGTCAGATGACGGTGTCCGGTGAGCAGCCAATCAGAAAGCACAAGTAGAATCATGGGTAATGTAGTTTTTATCTTTAAAACTCGTATTTGTGAAATAAAGGGGAATCCTCAATTAAAGGTAAAATGTTATTACTTTGTCTGTTAGATTTGGATTGAATCTTCCCCTTGCTGCAAAAACGTCAAATTATATATATATTATATATATTATATATATGTTTTAAACATTTCGTTTAGCCTACATAAGATATTATCTTTTAATTCCATGATAACTGGACATCTGCTGAGGAAGAAAGCTCAGTCCCAAATGATAGCTACTGAATTAATCATGTGGTGAGATAATTATATTTGTTAAATTAACTATTTATTTAACAAATTTTAATCAGAAATATTATCAATTAGAATGACAAACGATAAATGCCTTTTTTTCCCCACAAAGACCAGCTAAAACAGCAATAATGAATGCAAAATCCTGCAATATTAGGCTATTATTATGATTATTTCATTACACACACATCATATTTTAATTTTAAATATTAATTTATTATTATTACTGTTCATTCTCGATGCATACCCCGCTTACATTAGTGTTATTGAGCGGTCAGGGTGGGATTACATGAGCATTATCATTAACTACCCCGTTGTTGTTTCGTGTCTGTTTGAGATTTCGCGCGTGTTCCAGAAATAATACGTCAGACTGGGATTAAGGGATGTGGGCTGGCCCTGTGATATCCAAGGCTATCCTCCAACTCTATTTCAATAGGATCTCAGCTGCGGTTGTTGGTCCGTCGCCGTCGAGCACAGACGAACCGTGTCAGCGAGATCTCACACAGTGAATGACAGAGAGCCGAAGCAGCTTGTCGGAATAACAGTCTCTGGGCTTTTGCACGACTCAGGTAGGGATGTTTTTTGTTAAATAAATACGAGGACAGGACCTGAATAAACGACGGATTCCTGAAGCTTGTTGGGTTTTTTTTTCCTCCGGAGCGCACGTTTTCTGTTTGGCAGAGTGATGAATGAAAATCAGAGGAAAACACAAGAAGAGAACAAAATCCGAGCTTGCCGCGGATGCGAGAGTGCAGAGATGCTGTGGGCACAACTGTGACTGAATAAAGTCATAATAAATCTATTATAGGCTTAGAATAAAACCCGAAAGCAGCGACTTAAGTTCTGCAGCAGTGTGATTGTGCCGTTCACGGATCAGATGCGGCAGATGTGAGTTTTGCTGAAGACCCTCTTTCACACAGACCGGAGGATGGTCCCCGGGGCCCCCAGCACGACCACCACCATGCTCCCCGCCTCCGAGGCTGCCAAAATCTACCAGACCAACTACGTGCGCAACTCCCGCGCCATCGGTGTCCTGTGGGCCATCTTCACCATCCTCTTCGCCATCGTTAACGTGGTGTGCTTCATCCAGCCGTACTGGATCGGAGATGGTCTAGACACCCCGCAGGCGGGCTACTTCGGTCTGTTCCACTACTGCATCGGGAACGGGCTGTCCCGGGACTTGACCTGTCAGGGCAGCTTCACCGAGTTCAGCGCCATCCCCTCCGGCGCGTTCAAGGCCGCCTCCTTCTTCATCGGCATGTCCATGGTGCTGGTCCTCACCTGCATCGGCTGCTTCGCGCTCTTCTTCTTCTGCAGCACCGGCACCGTGTACAAGATCTGCGGCTGGATGCAGCTGGCAGCAGGTAGGAGACTCTGCTCTGACTACAGGTGGGAGTTGTAAAACACTAAAGTGGCTGTGAAAGTGTTGGTCTGCAAAGAGTTCATGTCTCTCCACCACCTCTGATTGTAGACGGTTCTAAAGTTTGGTGTAAAAGATGCTCAAAATGCACCTAAAAATCCAGATGTTCTGCTTCTTTATTAGGCAATAACTCTCAATTTGAGCTCAAATGATTCAGAGTTTAACTCCACAATCATGTAATTTGAATGTTTTAGCCTCATTTACATCCAGATTCTAAAAAAATAGGATGAAAACAATCGACTAGAGTGAAAATGCACCTAAAAATCCAGATGTTTTCCTGCTTTTTTAGGCAATAACTGTCAATTTGAGCTCAGATGATTTAGATTTTAACTCCACAATCATGTAATTTGAATGTTTTACAGATCATGGACTCCAAAATTGAGCTCTTTTGAGATTTCTATAGCCTAAAGGAGCCTTTTTTAGGTTTAACTCCACAATCACTCACCTCCCCATCAGTTTTAGGATGAACACAACTGACCACAGCTTTTACCTAAAGCTCCAGATGTTCCTCTGCTTTTACAGGTCAGGGACTCCAATAGTTTGGCCACAGTGCCCCATTTATTCTGTCCTGGAAACCTTGTTATTGAGCCTTTCTGTGGCTGCTAAAGCCCCGATAAAACATTATGTAACAGTATGTAAAAGTGTAGGTGGAGCGATAACAGCTTTGGGGGGAACGTAAAACCTCAGATTGAAACATTGAAAAATACTCTGATGTCTAAAGAGTTAAACAATGAAAAGAAACAAGCTTTTTGCATCTTTTACCTGCAGGTCAGAGCTGGACTTTGAGGTTACCGAAACGTATGTATGTAAGAACAAATATGTGTTATTTTGTGTTTGTATTTCATCTCAAAGCTCTAAAATTCATAGTTTCACTAACTTTGATACAATTTATTCAGACGAAAATCCAACATTCTGTCACAAATCAGCCCACAAAACTATAGCACTCGACTCGACTCTTTAATAAACTCTCATCTATAGAAACAGGTAAGTCCGCAGTGGTTTCTGTGCTTTACATTGTGATTTCCTTTCAATAGGAGCATAAATTGGAAATATGCAAATTATTCTGTTTTTTATGAGAACACAAAAGGGTCTCTGTAACATCTTCAAACCCACTGTGCACATTAAATAAGAAGAAAAACACATGTAAAGGAAGTGAGAAAGGAAAATCAAAGGAGCGGGGACATGCAGCGTGTTCTTCTTTCTGCCTTTTAATTATTTTTTGTCAAGTTTCCAGCATCCTCTCTGAAGCAGACCGACTTTTCCTCCTGCATGTGCACAGATCTTGATTGCCTTCCAAATTTATTATTTTCAAATAACTGGTCCAGCTCAGCTTTATATCTCAGCCAAATATTTCAGTACACAAGGGGGAAATGAAAGTAAATGTCAACATTAACACCTTTTTATTCTTTATTCTTTGGTAACTACAGAGCAGCAGAACCAGGTTTTCTTTGAAGATTTTAGAAATTCTTAATATCATAAGACCCCTAAAAACCCTCAAACTCAACCCCAATTCTTAAAATCTTGTGTTATTTGTTTACTTTTAGCTCCAGAATCCAAATAATTCAAAATAAAATCACAATAAAAACATGTAACATACATATACTTAGACACATGTACTATTGCGCATATGACAATAAAATCCATTAATCATGCTGTAAACACATTTAATTTCAGTTTTTATCCTGAGTAATATGTGATTTTTTGTACCTCTATTCCTGATATTGACTTTATATTTATTTCACACTGACCTGGATGCTTACTAGACTTTAAACCTACATTAAACCTTTGCATTTTTCCCAAATACTGGATCATTTCTGCTGCCTTCTTTAACGCAACCTGCAATCTGTCCACATCTCTCTGAGCTGCATCACCCTGCACTGCACAGCAATAACTGATATGACTATAAATCAGACTATGAGCTATAACACAACCAAGGAGAGTTAGATAAGAAGCTTGCAATCCAACAGCCCCTGTTATTTTCATCACTTTTTGTTTTTTAGAAAGGTCAGTAATGTGAGCTGATGAGAGTCATTTGTCTTTGGATTCTTCTTCTTATTGTGCAGATTGTCAGGCTTTTGGTCTTTAACACATTTAATAATAACTTTAACTCTACTGATTCAGCATTACACTCCTAAAACCAACCCTGTCTCCTAGAATTTATGTTTTTATATTACTAAGTTGTTTTCATTATTATGTTATTATGGTCACAGTGTGTTATGTGTTTGGACACAACATTAATGTAATGTGGTGGAGTTGCAGTGAGGTTGTTCGGGGTGGATGGTGGGCGTACACAGTGCAGGTCTATCGCACCAGGGTCTGGAGTTCACATCTACATTCCTGCAGCGAAAGCTCTTTGGTTAAAGTCCAAAATGAGGGTTAAAATTAAATAGAAAATGTAAATTTAACCCTTTAAGATTGCATCCTCGGTCATATTGTACCCCCTATTTAACAATGTATGCCCAAAAAAAGCATTTTTTTCACTACTTTGTAGTTTTATATCCAATTCCAATCATTTTTTTACTTCCTGTAAAACAAAATTGACGCGTGCTTACGTAAGCCTGCACTAACTGATTTCCACTAATAATATCATGACATTCACTTGTTGATCAGTCCTCAATCGGTCTTTCAGCGTCACAGAGCTAAGTTTCATTAGTTAGCTTGGCTAGTGTTTCTGTACAAAGACACAACTACAAACATTGTGATTTTGCTGAGATTGGTGTGTCATCTGCAAACATAGATGCATTTAAAAGAGCTAAAGTGCAGGAAATATGGTTTCTATAAAGGATAAACAACAATGGTGCATGGTCAAAAGAAAACAGATGTTTTGACAGCGGCCTGTCATTCAAATGACCTTGACTCCACAGTGGACTGATTGTTAATAGAAACAACTGAACATGTGTGTAAATGAAGGAGCTGTAGCCAAAAAACAAACCAAGAGATTTGTATTTTATTTCTGGGAGAAAATGAGTGTCTTCACACTAATTTACACCCCCACAGAGAAACATATGACAAATAATTGCTGATTAAAAAAAAAGAAATGATTTTGAGCATAATTTATGGTTTAGAATTCTCATAAAAATGTAATTTTTGTGTATAAATAATCTCCCAGCATCTTCTGCTGTAAAACACAGCTTGTTCTCAAATGGGAATTAAATGTCATAACCAATAACGATCACATTCACGGAGTGTGCTTCTGTTTTTTTTTTGTTTTTTTGCCTACAGAAACGCAGCAGTGGAAAAATCTGTTTTGATTCAGGGTGAACATGTGAAGTATGCTGACCTCCAGTTTTAGCAATAAATAGCAACCGCAGACTGCAATCTAACAATAGTGATTAGATATAGAGGTTAGCAGAGCCATTAGCCAGCTGTGAGGCCTAATCTAAACACCATGTTCCCATTTCATTGCAAAAAAAAATAAAAAACCTCCAACCCTCTGTAAGTGAAGTCTCAAACCCTAGCAGCTGTGAGTTGGGTTATCTTTTGGAGCGAAGGCTCTACGATGAGCTCTTTCACAGTCGTAATGAGTGGCACAGCCTGGCAGTTTCTTTCTTTGCAGTTTTTTTTTTTTTGTCACAGATCAAAGCTGCTTCTTATTCCTCTGAGTCACATTTTGCGCCCCCCCCCCGTTTTTCCCACTATGTCAGGGGAACAGATTTTCAAAAACTGTCACAGTTGATCCACTCGTCTCTAGTGGAGAGTAACTAAGTACATTTACTCAACAAGTTTTGAGGTACTTGTGGTTGAGTATTCCCATTTTTAGAAAATCTTTAGGCTAATAATTTTACATATTGGTTACATTTCATCACATAACCACAAACACAAGATGAGGGCTGCAACTAAGAGTTATCTTCATTGTTGATCTGTTGATTAGTTTCTTAATTATTCCATAAATCATAAAAGGTCGCAATAAAATACTCATAATTTTCCAAAACTTCAAATTCAGATTGCTTTATTGTCCAACCAACAGTCCAAAACAGAAGTATAAAGCTGAATATATCAAGAAATCCAGCAAATCCTATTACATCATATATAATAAATGAGCCAAAACAAGTGCTTTTATTTCGAAACTAAAAGTACATCTTGCTGCTAATAGTCCCACAGTGCTTCTATAACTCGGAGCCTCATTCAGTATCACTCTTTCCGTCTCATATCGTCTCTCCTCCTCTGTCTCATTCGCTCAAAAATGTCACGTTTAGGCCACTGTGAAAGCTGCCATTAAAAGATTTTCCAGGCAACTTAAATAGCCAATATCGAGGCGCTTTCTCTCTCTAAGCAGTCTGAAATCCCACTGTGATTGTAAAAAAAAAATCTTCCCTGTCAGGTGTCATTTCAGGTGGTACAGGGCTGCTGTGATGTGCTATCAAAGGCAGCACATACGGCTCAGAGGCAGCCCTCCTCTCCAACGATGGGCTGTCCTGAATGTTTGATGAGCACTGCCTTCCAGATGAAGAGATTTTTTAGAAAAGTAGCTAAGAGTAACGATGATTGCTGTAATGATGCAGCCATTTTCTATGCCTCTTTGCAGATGTGGTTTGATGGTCAGTTACCTAGTTTTAAACAAGTCTTTTGCATAACTTTGCACAGAAGTTGGCAGGCGTACGTCAGACAGAACTGGCCTCCTGCCCAAACAGAGAGCCAACGTTTATGTCTTTCATTTCATTTTTCTGCCTGAACACCCCTCTCACAAGAAAATCACCCTCCAGACTGTTATCTAAAGTCACCTCTGCTACTACGACAGAATATATAAGAGAACACTACTTAGATATTAAGGTACCACTTTATAAAAAAGGTGTACTTTATATAGGATTTACTGATGGTTTATTTATCAGTAACAAACCTTTAATAACGACTTCTAGGTGGTTCAGTCATATCTTCTGGCATTATACTATGCGTTTATCTGAGTTTATCTATATTTTCTAAGCAGCTGATGAACTTATGATGATT